ATTAAAATCTTAGCTACTGATACGATTTTAATTATAAACGTAATCCGACGAAGGTGAATATGATATGTGGGTGCCTAATCTGCAAGACTGTACGTGGATGTAGGGTTTCTTAATCATTCTTAATTATTACAAACAGTTACACATGAACGTCATTGCTATTCATTCCCATGAAAGTAGGAATAAGATGAAAATTAAAATTATGAAAGTTTATTGAATAATCATTGCTGCTAAAGCAGAAAATCAAGTTTACAAGTTAGTATTAAGAATTCTTAAGTAATAATTGTCCACTTTCTTCTCAACTTCCGTTGTGAAACGTTCACCATACTTCTCAATGATGCGATGCTTATGGATTCTTTGGCTTCGTTGAATACTTATATACACTTCACTCCGTCGTGGTAATGCAGTTAATGTATAATTTTGGAAGTTCTGGGTATTATGTAACTTCCATCTGCTACAATACCTAAGAAGTTGATGAGCTATGCAGTTAGTATTTCACAATTGATATAGCTTACCTGTAAGATTTCGTCTTTTAACGTAGGCAAGTAGCATGTGACGGAATATCTACATTGTAAAATACAATGATAAACATGTTCACTTTTTATTATTAGTATTATACGTAGAATCAATGCACACAACTTCTGGATATTTTCTGTACAGTTGTATTTGGTTAGAACTACTGAAACATATTCTAGTGGCATATCCATTTTCTAAATGTTCCTTCACTTCGCCTTTCTGTCTAAGCATATCCATTATCTGGTTCCGAGTAAAACAACCTGAAATATATTTATATACACTTACCAGTGGAGAGTGTAGCTTTCATATCTTTGACATCGGCAGCAGTTACTTGCTTACCAGTTCTCTCCTTAATGCTTTCGATAACTTCATCTGCTGACTCACAGTGAAGTATTACGGGCTTCAAGTTCTCTTTTTCTTCTGACGATAATCTCCTTCTCCATGGATCACATACCATCCATGAACTACTACATGGATGATTGTGGAGCATGTTGTAGGATTTGATGACATATCCTTGCTCCTCTAGTCTTACACGAAATTTAGATTGACAATTACGGAATTTAGACCTTAAACATAAGATATTAGTTAAAGATCTTACGATTTTTGCTTGACTTTCAAACCTTCCGATTTCCTCTTATGACCAAACGTACAATTAAACGATACAAACAGGTATTTGAACCTGACATCCTTCAGCAATCTGCTTTGTGTGGATGTAACGAGTATAAGTAGTCTGAGAAGCGATAAAATTATAATTCCATACTTTTTGGAACTCTTTTAAGGCGCTTTCAAAATCATCCCACAACACGAAACGCTTGTTCAGTATCATACTTCGAACGGCATCGGCTAGGTCGACTGAAATGTCACTTGAGCATGAAGCACTAAAAACAGAAATGACTAATTGTTAAAAGGTTATTCCTTGCAACAATAATAACCCAAGGAAATACTACAAATACTTAGGATTTACCTGTGACTTGACATTTCGTTGAGCTTTACTACAGTTGTTGGGATCAAAGATCAAATTACAAAGCAGCAACAGAGCCAAAGTGTACACTACAAAATAGATGACGCTAAATTAATGGTTATGGTATTTATTTCGTGCTTTTTTATGTAGCATAAGATGACTTATATATGAAAAAACTTGATACTCATGCAATCGAACCAACCCACGGCAATTGAAATACGGATTGACCGCCTCTAGTCAAGCCGTTCAAGGTCGTTGAAAAGAAAGGGCGGGAACATTTCAAAAGGACCTAACGTTTAAACCTTGCACATACGATCGGTTCATAGCGGATTTTAGAGAGTAGGTGATTAATGAGAGGCTACAACAGATGGGACGGCGAAACTATAATTTAGGGACGAGCCAATGAGAAGCGTTTGAGCAATTTCAATTATTAGTTAATCAAAAGACAGTATAAAGTAAAAATATATTACAAGAAAGTAATGAATTACAGTGGATATTCTTCTTTTACATGATTTAAAAACTTGTTGAGGTTTGATAAAGGTTCAGAAGTTCTGAATTCATAATGCATATTGTATAGAAACTCGTCCATAGGGTTAGGGTTTGGGGTTAAAATTAGGGTTAACGGTTAGGTTAAGGTTAGGGTTTAGGGTTAGATTAGGGTTTAGGGCTAAGGTTAGGGTTTTTGGGTTAGATTAGGGTTTGGGGTTAGGGTTAGGTTTGGTTAGGGTTAGATTAGGGTTTAGGGCTAAGTTTAGGGTTAGATTAGGATTTAGGGTTAGGTTAAGGTTAGGGTTAGATTAGGGTTTAGGGCTAAGGTTAGGGTTTATGGTTAGTTTAAGGTTAGGGTTAGATTAGGGTTTAGGGTTAGGTTAAGGTTAGGGTTTAGGGCTAAGGTTAGGGTTTTTGGGTTAGATTAGGGTTTAGGGTTAGGTTTGCTTAGGGTTAGATTAGGATTTAAGGTTAGGTTAAGATTAGGGTGCTAACATGCGATCGGTTTACATCGGATTTTAGAGAAGATGTTTCTACTTACAGGCTACAACCCTAACCACTAACCCTATGGACGAGTTTCTATATAATATGCATTATGAATTCAGAGCCTCTGAACCTTTATCAAACCTTAACAAGTTTTTAAATCATGTAAAAGAAGAATATCCACTGTAATTCATTACTTACTTACAATATATTCTCACTTTATACCAACTGTCTTCTGATTGGCTAATAATTGTCAAGCTCACTTAAGATTCGTTCAAAGGTCGTCCTTAAATTAGAGTCTCGCCAGTTTTTGTGCATTTCGTATCACTGGACCTTTTATGTAAATGTATTGCATGGGTGCCATCTCTGTAGCTTAACCTGTATTTAATGTTGTAAAGTGTGAACTGTGGTTTGCACGTTTATAAATTTGTTTTGCTTTTTGTTGTTGTAAATAGATGTAGGAGGCGAGACTCTAATTTATGGACGAGACAATCAGAAGCGTTTGAGCAATTTCAAGTTCACGGAGCCAAGTTCAACACGCGCTGCTAACATACGATCGGTTCATAACGGATTTTAGAGAGTAGGTGATTAATGAGAGGCTACAACAGATGGGACGGCGAAACTATAATTTAGGGACGAGCCAATGAGAAGCGTTTGAGCAATTTCAATTATTAGTTAATCAAAAGACAGTATAAAGTAAAAATATATTACAAGAAAGTAATGAATTACAGTGGATATTCTTCTTTTACATGATTTAAAAACTTGTTGAGGTTTGATAAAGGTTCAGAAGTTCTGAATCCATAATGCATATTGTATAGAAACTCGTCCATAGGGTTAGGGTTTTGGGTTAAAATTAGGGTTTGGGGTTAGGGTTAGGTTTGGTTAGGGTTAGATTAGGGTTTAGGGCTAAGGTTAGGGTTAGATTAGGATTTAGGGTTAGGTTAAGGTTAGGGTTAGATTAGGGTTTAGGGCTAAGGTTAGGGTTTAGGGTTAGTTTAAGGTTAGGGTTAGATTAGGGTTTAGGGTTAGGTTAAGGTTAGGGTTTAGGGCTAAGGTTAGGGTTTTTGGGTTAGATTAGGGTTTGGGGTTAGGGTTAGGTTTGGTTAGGGTTAGATTAGGGTTTAGGGTTAGGTTAAGGTTAGGGTTAGATTAGGATTTAGGGTTAGGTTAAGGTTAGGGTTAGATTAGGGTTTAGGGCTAAGGTTAGGGTTTTTGGGTTAGATTAGGGTTTGGGGTTATGGTTAGGTTTGGTTAGGGTTAGATTAGGGTTTAGGGCTAAGGTTAGGGTTAGATTAGGATTTAGGGTTAGGTTAAGGTTAGGGTTAGATTAGGGTTTAGGGCTAAGGTTAGGGTTTTTGGGTTAGATTAGGGTTTGGGGTTATGGTTAGGTTTGGTTAGGGTTAGATTAGGGTTTAGGGCTAAGGTTAGGGTTAGTTTAAGATTAGGGTTTAGGGTTAGGTTTGCTTAGGGTTAGATTAGGATTTAAGGTTAGGTTAAGATTAGGGTGCTAACATGCGATCGGTTTACATCGGATTTTAGAGAAGATGTTTCTACTTACAGGCTACAACCCTAACCACTAACCCTATGGACGAGTTTCTATATAATATGCATTATGAATTCAGAGCCTCTGAACCTTTATCAAACCTTAACAAGTTTTTAAATCATGTAAAAGAAGAATATCCACTGTAATTCATTACTTACTTACAATATATTCTCACTTTATACCAACTGTCTTCTGATTGGCTAATAATTGTCAAGCTCACTTAAGATTCGTTCAAAGGTCGTCCTTAAATTAGAGTCTCGCCAGTTTTTGTGCATTTCGTATCACTGGACCTTTTATGTAAATGTATTGCATGGGTGCCATCTCTGTAGCTTAACCTGTATTTAATGTTGTAAAGTGTGAACTGTGGTTTGCACGTTTATAAATTTGTTTTGCTTTTTGTTGTTGTAAATAGATGTAGGAGGCGAGACTCTAATTTATGGACGAGACAATCAGAAGCGTTTGAGCAATTTCAAGTTCACGGAGCCAAGTTCAACACGCGCTGCTAACATACGATCGGTTCATAGCGGATTTTAGAGAGTAGGTGATTATGAGAGGCTACAACAGATGGGGGGCGAAACTATAATTTAGGGACGAGCCAATGAGAAGCGTTTGAGCAATTTCAAATTATTGTTAATCAAAATACAGTATAAAGTAAAAATATATTACAAGAAAGTAATGAATTACAGTGGATATTCTTCTTTTACATGATTTAAAACTTGTGGGTTTGATAAAGGTTCAGAAGTTCTGAATTCATAATGCATATTGTATAGAAACTCGTCCATAGGGTTAGGGTTTTGGGTTAAATTAGGGTTAACGGTTAGGTTAAGGTTAATGTTTAGGGTTAGATTAGGTTTAGGGCTAAGGTTTAGGGTTTTTGGGTTAGATGGTTTGGGTTAGGTTAGATTTGGTTAGGGTTAGATTAGGGTTTAGGGCTAAGGTTAGGGTTAGGTTAGATTAGATTAGGGTTAGGTTAGGTTAGGGTTAGATTAGGTTAGGCTAAGGTTAGGGTTTATGGTTAGTTTAAGGTAGGTTAGATTAGGGTTAGGGTAGGTTAAGGTTAGGGTTAGGGGCTAAGGTTAGGGATTTTGGGTTCGATTAGGTTTAGTGTTAGTGTGC